GTAAAGCCGAGTGTGTTTCTTAGGTGGTCTCTTTCCCAGGTCGTCTTTCTACCTAGTGAACCCTAGAATTTACCTGCCATCACTTCTGCCCATTGAGCCTACCTTGGCCTCCTGGGGAGTGCCCATTAGCTGAAGTGGACAGATTTTGTCCATCCAAGAGTCCCTGGAAGCCCAGAGCTCTCAGCCTGCTGCCCAGCCTGTTGCCTGTGAGGCAGACCCAATTTGAAGACTCCTCATCTGGCAGAATGGGGACATCTCACTGTCCTGGTCACCCACCTGGTTCCTGGAGTCAAGCCCCAGGTTTGGGGTGTAACCTGATGATAGACGTACACAGCGGGAGTGTGCCCAGGGCCCCAGAGCTGGGCCGTAGGATTCCGTGACCTCAGCCCCCGTCTTAACCTTTCCCATCTTCAGTTTGACGGTTGTCTCGGGTGTCCCGCTAACCTCGGTTCTCTCCACCCGTCCCAGCTCAGATGCATGTGCTGGCTGTTAGGGTCGGGAGGGGCTGTCTCTGAATGTCCGACACACAGGCGCCGTGGGTCTCTGACACCCATCCTAGCCCCACTGCTTCAGGTTTCTGTGGTTTGGATGAGTGCCCTGTTGGCCTACCTGTGACTGCTTGTTGGACCAAGCTGGTACCAGGTCTGGAGTCCCTGCCTGGCTCCCGAAGGGCCTGGCTGGGCTGGCTGAGTGGTCGTCTCTGTGCCCGTTCTTGACGCAGTGCGCTGCCTCCCTTCCAAGCCACCTTGGCTGCTCGTGCCTCGGAGCCTGTGGTCTTCGGTGAAAGCAGAGCCCTGTGGGACCTGTACCAGCAAGGTGGCATTTCGGACAGTCGGGTAAAGCCACCGGAGGGAGCGGATGTCAGCACTTTGCGTTTTATTCTTCCGTTGTTAGTTCTGCTTTCCCAGACGCACAAGCCAGGGGCGGCCGTAGGTGCTCTCTGAGTTCGATCCCCACACGCTCCCTTTCCTTCTTGGTTTTCCACTAAGCCCTTCTGATTCGGTGAGCATACCCAGTGCCCAGCATGAGTGCCGTGGGCCACCACCCGCCACCCAAGTACACATCCTGATCTTGCCGTCTCCCCACCCCTCGCCATGATCTTGGGTTCTCCTTTCCATACTTTTCTGAAAACTCTACTCTGGACTGAGTCTTATGGCCCAGGCTGAGTCTTACGGCAGTGTAGCCATTCCTCCTGTGCCCTTGGGAGGCCCTGGACCCGCCCCCAGCCATAAGACTGGCCACGAGATTCCCTGCGTCTTTACATCCTGTCTGTGATATGGAGAAGATGCTGGCTTGTGGGACGTGGCTTCCAGCAAGTTTGCTGAGAGGAGCCTGCAGGGGACCAGACCCATGGGGTCTAGACCGTCAGTGGGCACCGCCACCTTCTGGCTCCTTAGGCTGACCCTCTGCCTCTCGCCCACCACACCAGCCACACTGCCCTGGCTGCCCGCCCTCAGCCCCTGGTCCTGTCACCGTCACCCTGTGCTGGCTGTCTGCGCTTCTTACCGTGTTTTGGGTGCCTGAAGGGCACTTGCTGGATGTGGCTGATGGCTGCCAAGGACCTTGCCTGTGGTGCGGCCTGTGCAGGAACGCCTCCGCGCCCCGCCCTGCCGTGAGCCCCTGCAGCAGGGCCACTCGTCCTGTGGGCTCCCCCACCCCAAACTGTGTAAAGAAGTGTGTGTGAGCACACGCGTGAGTGCACACACTCAAGCCACAGCCCAGAGGTGGCAGTGTGGTCCGGGGGCTGCCTCATGCCCTGTTGGGCAGCTGGCCAGGGAGGTGACAGACCTATGGACCTCCGGGCCCACATGAGCCCAGGGCATGGGTTTGTCTTGGATTCCAGCAAGTCCTGGAGCAGGGTCTTGGCTAGACAGGCCTTCTCCAAGCCTGGGCTGGTGCCACCTTCTCAGGTCCCTTGCCAGGGGAAGAAAAATCAGGAGAGTCTCCCAGTGGATCAGACAGGGCAATGAATGTCTGTTACCATGGCAACAACCCAGAGCTGCTCCTCACAGGCCCGGTGAGGGACGGGCAGTTCTCAGACCTGATCCCTGATTTCAGACCTGGACCTGCATGTGGCCTTGGACCTCACTGTTGGTTTGGGACATGGGGCTCCTGACCCTGTCCATGCAGGTGAGCAGAGCTTCGCTGTCCATCTGAAGAGGTACACCGGCCTGCTCCACCCGCCRCTGCCTCGCTCATTCTGTGGCTCCGTGGCTTCCGTGAGGAGTCCCATTCCCTCTGGAGCATTTCAGAGCCACCCACAATATTATCATCACACCCTCCCAGATAAGTTCTCAAGTCCCTAGCATCCAGTGGCCACTCCGTGTTGCTCAGGTATGTGTGTATGTATGTGTGTATATATATATATTTTCTCTTCTTGGTTGCCCAGAGTCAGAGACCAGACCAGACAGGGCACTGCATTGACTGCTATGCCTCCTAAAGAAGAGGGGGACCCTCATCATGTCACAGGGGACCAGTAGCAGGAGCCAAGCCCTGGGAGCCTTGGCCAGCCACTTGCCCACGTCCCCCACCTCTTGCCCACTTTCCAGCATCACCTGCTGGCCATACAGGCATCTGAGTCTGCAGCGTGTACCGTAAATGGGAGCCTGGCTTCCCGGGGTGGGATGGAGTCTGGGTTTTGTCTGTGGGTTTTTAGAAATCAGTCTGTATCCTAAAGCAGATGTGCACAGGGCTTCCTCAAATTCCTGTTAGCTGCTGCATTGACCAGTGTCACTTTGATGCTTTTGTAGGTCAGAATGGCTGAACATAGGCAGCTCCACCTTGTTCGACTGAAAGGCGTGGTTTGATTTTTATAAGTGAAACGTGTGTGGTATGGGGGTCGTGCTAGGGAGTAAGAACTGGGTGGAAGGGCTGGTATGTAGTGACCTGTCAATGAAGGGGGTGCAACCCCAGCCAGCATCTGCAGCCTGAGGTTCAAAGGCACTGTGCCCTCGCCGAGTTCTGCCCGCGGGCCTGCCTCATTTTATACGGCAGCTCTATCAAGACAGAACTTGATCCTGTACAGTCCAGCCCTCAGCGTGAGCAAGCTGTTGTTTCCACGATGTTCCCAGAGGTGTGCTTCTGCAACCCTGGCTGGAGCACCCCCCATCCAGAATGCTGGTGGTGGACATTTCAGACGTTCTCTGGGTTTGGGATATTTGTCTCTGCATAATGAGGCATCTTGGGGATAGGACCCAAAACTCAGAGGAGATTCACTTGTTTCTTACGCAGTTTACACACAGGGCCAGAAGGTAACTTCAAACAGGGTTTTGTCAAGAAGTGTCTTTGTGTAAACATGAAGTAATCGTGCGAGTTTATGAGGTGTACCATGGTAGTGATCAGGGTAATTAGCACCCCGCCTCCTTAACGTCCATCTTTGTGCTGCAAACCTTCGAACTCCTCCCAAGTTCTGCTTGGAATATACCCTAGGTTTCCGTGGGCTCCAGTCACTGCTGCACTGGGCAGCCCAGGACTTCCTCCCTGGGAGCCGTGCACTGGCACCGACTCCCTCTGCCCCCACCCCACCCAGCCCCTCATGGCAGATTCTCTGTTCTCTGCTGCTATGAACTAACATTTCAGCTTTCACGTGTGAGAACGAGTGCTGTTTGTCTTTGTGCCCGGCCATTGGCCTCCAAGTTGCTGCACAAGGCAGGATTTTGTTCTTGGCGGCTGGATGTTATTCTGTTGTGTGGATGCCAAAGTCCTCTGTCCTCTGTCCGATGTCTCACTTGATTCCCCCGCATGGCTCTTCAGATAGCGCTGCATTAAGCCCAGGGATGCAGGGTCTGGTGGGCTGACTGGTCCCTTTGGATACCCACCCAGTGGGGGGGGTGGTTTCACAGGTGGTGGTTTGGTCTGGTTTGGTTTGCGTACCTTGTTCCACGGTGGATGGAACTAATTGACATCTCATCTTGTAACATTTTGAGTAATTTTGTGCATGAAACAAAAGTTTCATGGTGTAAAATTTTCCTCATCAATGCTCGAAGTTTTGGGTTTTGGAGCCTGTCAGATTTTAGGTTTTTGGATTAGGAAACCTGCTCAACCTGTTCGGTCTGTTTTGAAACATTTTCATCACCCCAGAAAAGAAACTCTCTACCTTCAGGGTGCACCCCACCTCCCGGACCCCTCCTGGGGACCCACCAGTCTGCCTGCCTCTCCATGTTTTCCTCTTCTGGAAAGTTCACATGGATGTGGTCATCCGTGCCCAGCGCTGTCACTCGGTGAGGTTTGATGGTGTGTCCACCTTGTGGCCTGGACCTGTCGGGTGGGTGACAAGCCGCCCTTGTTAACGCATTCATCAGGTGGTGGACATGGACACACAGTGGTTTCCAACTTTTGGCTGTGAGGTTAGATGCTTTGTGAAATCCATGCAGGTTTCTGTTCTCTTGGGTGCTTCTACACTTGGTGGGGAGTTGCTAGGTCCCTGTTTCCTTTAAGGAGTTCCAGCAGCCGCACTTCACTTCCCACTGAGGTCTCTGCATCTCTGCCAGCTTGTTCTTACCTGACTCTGGATAGTGTAATGAAGCTTTCCTGGCAGGATGAGATATGTCTGGAGGAGAGGGAGAGGGCTGTCATTCTGTCAGTGGCCTAGAGTGGCAGCTGGGGTCATTTTCAAAAGCTCTTGAAATCCGATCAGGTGCATGCCTCTGATCCCAGTGACTCAGGAGGCTGAGGCAGAAAGATTGCAAGTTGAAGGCCAGCCTCAGCAAAGTAGTAAGGCCCTGGTTCAAAATTTAAAAAAAAAAATACTGGAGAGGTAGCCCAGTGGCAGAATGCTCCTGAGCTCAATCACCAGTGTTTTTTTAAAAAACAAAACCAAAAACAAAACAGCAGCACCTGGAGAAGCAGGTTTAAAACAGAGCAGTAGCAGGCCACCTGCAACCGTCCCTGCGCCTCCTGCTGCTCCGGCCCCTGCTGGGGGGTGGTGGGAGGGGTCAGACACCATGTGCAATGGTCCTCTCTCCGCGCCTCATCTGCCATGTGCCCTTTCTCCCTCGCAGGAGTCACCATGAAGCTCATGGACGAGGTGGCTGGGATTGTTGCTGCACGCCACTGCAAGACCAACATAGTCACTGCCTCCGTGGACGCCATCAATTTTCACGACAAGATCCGGAAAGGTAACAGAGCTCTTCTGATGAAGCTGGGGTGGGGGGAGCAGCCCTTGGGGCTAGCTTAGTGTTTACACCTGATGTCTGTCCATGTGCCACCAGAAACAGGAGGGCCATGCTCCATGCTCTGGCCTTGGGGATGCATCTGTGAGGCTAGTGTCGACCCATTTGATATTTCAACCTGGTAAAATCTAAAATTCAGGTATGGTGGAGGCCTTTATCCTCCCAGAGACCAGCATGAACACATCTTCTTCCAGTGCCCCTCCAACAGAGCACCGTGGCCCTGACTGTTGCCACCAGACCTTGTGGCAGGTGTGTTGCACTGTGAGAGGAGTGAGTCCTCTGTGATGCAGGCAGCAGCAGGGTTACTTCAGGGGCCCACAGGTGTCGCTGCCTTGGCCAGAAGTCCAGTCCCAGTGACGTGTCTCCCACCGGGAGTGGGGCCTGTCGCCTGTATAGGAGGCCAGACCTCTGCAGCTGTAGAGCACAGAGCCTGCCTCAGGTTATTGATCCTTTGTGGACACAGCACCCGACAGTTTCTGTCTGTGACCTGTGACCTGTGGCCTGAGATGAGCTGCAGCGGGAAAGCAGCCCTGCTGTGCCAGCTGTGGTGGCCGGATCCGTCTCTAGAGCCTGGAGTTAGTTCTGCAGGCAGCGTGCTGTCAGGAGCACCCTGAGATTTGGAGGGTGCAGGGCTGCCCCCTGCCATAATCATGAGCATGGAGGACAGACGGTCTCTGGCCTAGCGCCCCTGGGTCTGGCAGATTCTCTTCAGAGCAGATAGGTATTTGCCACAAGTGTCATTTTTAGAATTGGCCCAAACAAGTGGGTCTCGTCTGCTTCAGCTCGTCCTCCAGGGCTGTGCATGTCTCATGCTGGCAGCGTTGTGCCCAGTGGTGGCATGAACCAAGGGAAAGCAAGAATCCCACCGCAGTGTGACATCACGCCACACTCTTCCTAGAACTCCTGCCTGGGCGAATTGCTATGATGAGGGCCACATTGTTGAACCAGTCTCAAAATGCACAGAGGAGAATGTGCTTACGTCCTTTGGGACTCGCTGTGTTCACTGGTCCCCGAGTGTCTTGGAGAACCACCAGGATTCTCCCAACCAGCAGCCTGGTGGGTTTTGTTTGGTGAGCATCTGCTCGAGGGACGGGTGAGCCGTGCAGCTTCAGCCCCCGGGATGGACAGTCAGCCTCTGAGGGTCGAGGGAGCCATTGGAAAGGCCCCAGGCTGCTGCTTGGCTGCTCACAGCCAGGAGTGGCTGGACAGGAGCTGTGCAGGTTCCTGGCCAGGAGGACTTGCCCTGCAACTGGAGCAGGCCGTCTCGGGGTCACTTCTGGTAGGAGTCGGGCAGCCTGGGCAGACTCCTTTCCAAAAGTTGCCTTCAGCTGGAACCCAGAGAAGCTGCGAGGGACGAGGGGGCCGTGGTATTCGGCAGTGGTGGCTGGTCTGGTTGCACTCAGGAGGAGCCACGCCCACTGGCTGCACAGCGCTTGCTCCCTGCCCAGCCTGTCCTGCATGCTGCCTCAGCCTTGGACTTGGGCCATGTGGCCTTCTGGCCTGGGGACCCCTGAGAGAAACACTGGCTCCTGGGGGTGGCAAAGTTGCTTCTTCTGGGGGGATGTCCTGTTTTGATTGTGAAGGGTTGGGGCCGGCTGAAACAGTGGTTATGGAGTCTGGCCTACTTCCCAGCCAGTGTCCTCAAGGCCATCAGACACTGTCACATCCAGTCTGTCGTGTTCCAGAGGAGCGTCCCCCGTGAGGTCGTGGGCGCACTTCCTTCTGCAAGGACCCGGGGCGTTTCTGGGGAGCCAAGGCACCTGCAGGCAGGTGGCATGGGGCACTGCCACTCAAGGCCAGCGTCTCCCCCCTCGTTCTGCTCCTTTGCTGGGCCATGTGGAGTGGGCCTGGTGAGTCCCTGCTGCCTCTGGGTTCCTGAGGACACAGTCACAGTGTGTCAGACGCTGTGGGGCGGGAGGGTGATGTGCCATCAGCTTTTCTCTGATGTAGCTCTGTCAGGGCCCCCTTAAGTCCTGGAGACTGTTTTTGCACCTCCCAGGAGCTGCTGGCCCTGCCCAGGGCCTCCCTCTTGCCATGGCTTTGGCTCTAACATGGAGGAGGCCCCAGGGCCACCTCCCCGGCAGAGTTGACACACATGTCACTGCACAGATGAGGCAGTGTCAGCAGCCACTGGTGGCTCCGGAACTTGCCTGGGAGGTGTGCAGGGCACCTGGTGGGTTTTGTACCACAGAGTGGCTTGGTTTCTGGGGCTTTGCAACAGAATGACAAACCCAGGAGACTTCGGGCCACCTTCCCTCCAAAGGCTGTGGGGAGGGTTCCCACCTGCCGCATCAGCTCGCAGGGCCCCAGGGCTCCAGGGCCCCAGAGCCCCAGAGCCCCGGAGCCCCGGAGCCCCGGGTGTTGCGTGGCCTGTGGCCGCATCGTCTCAACCCCTGCCTTCCCAGTCACGGCTTCTCACAAGGAGTATCTCTTGTAAGGACACTCGTAGGATGTGGGACCCACCCCCAGAGAATCCAGGAGGGTCTCATTCAAGTCAGACAGTAAGGCTCTGAGTTCTGGGTCGACGCGGGGCTGCCGACCCACTGTCAGGTCCCCTCCTCACAGACCTCGGCTCCTTCCAACTTCATGAAACCACCAGGTGGTTAGGACCTTCTGCGCCGGGCCTTCTCCCACGCGCTCTGTCCACACGGGGTAGACGTCCAGCCTGGAGAAGGAGCTGCTCTGAGGGGCTCCCGTTTTGAGAAGTGAGGTCCTCAGCACTGTGGGGGAACCAGCCCTGGTGACTGGCCCCACGGAGGCCTCACGCCTTGGGGCCTGAAGTGCTGGTAGAGGGCCAGGGCTCTCCTCTGAGTGGCAGAGAGAACTGGTCAACATCAGAGAGGAGATGGACAATGGCCCCCAGGAAGCAAGGGTTTGCAGTGTCAGGACTCGATCCTGTGGACGGAGAAGCACATTCTTGCTGGGCATGGTGGTCATTCCTGAGAGTAGAGGTTAATCAGCAAAAGGATCGTTTTTCATGGGGAGGGGGGTGGGGAACATCCAGGCAGATGGGACCTGCGGTGCCATGGGACTGTGGCTGCTGTCCACGGCCAGTGCCCGTCACAGTGGGTGATGTGCACGCCACCTCGAATGTGTCCCCGGCCATATCCTACCCCTCACCCCAGCTGGGAAGGGAGCCCCCTGGAGGCTGACCTGCTGCAGGCCGCCTGCTTGCTTCAGGAACGGGTTTGTCCTCTTCCCTTTGCGAAGGTCCATGGGGCTGGTTCTCACTGGAGGCCCCTCCTTTGCCAGCCTCAGGAGGTGGCCCCGGGGCCTCAGCCTCTGGCTCTGTCCATTCTCCATCTTCAAAACAGCCCTTCTTCCCACCTCTTCCCGTCATCCAGCTCCTCCTCGCTCTGCCCATCCCGTGTCCATCTTATAAGGACCCTGGGTTAGGCTATCATGATCCAGGCACTCCCACCTCTAGGTCCTTTGCTCCCATCCTCAAAGTCCCTTTTGCAACGTGAGGTCACACATGCACAGGGTCCAGGGAATAGAGGGTGGGTCACCTCCCGGGGGGCCATTATTCTGCCTTAGCAGACTGTGATGCCCAATTTGACCTTAGAAATCCTCACAGCTGCCCCAGGAGGCTGGAAGTCCTGGAGTATCAGTTGGAAGGGCCGTGTGCTGAGCAAGGGCTCGCTGCACCCAGCTTACCCCACGAGCCAGGACGGCCCTTCCATGGCCATGCGTCTGCTGGTCACCCTGGCACTCTCGCAGGGTAGCACTGACTGTCTATACCCCTCACTCTTGTCTAGACCACAGAGGGCCACCCCTGTTACACCTTCGACCTGCCAGCCCACCTCCGCACTGCCATCATGGTCACTAGACGCCAGTGACCTGCTGCTTCTCGGCTCACAGCCTCTGTGGCCACCTGTGACACACACATGCAGCCTGAGCCCCTCAGCCAGGCCTTCCAAGCCCACTAGGGCAGGCTGCCGCCTGCATGGCCAGCAGTTGGGGCACCTCTCCCGAGGCTCATGGGACAGCACAGAAGGCCTGGGGAGCTGCCAGCCCAGGAACACCACGCGCCCAAAGCCCCTGAGCTTACTCTCTCCTGGTCACTTGAGACATTGCAGTGCCCTATGACTGAAGGTAAAGGGGATAAGGGGTCACCTTGAGTGGTGGTTTGGAAACATTAGGCAGGAAAACGTCAAGCTAACGTTTTCTGGTGGAGAAATGGTCTCCCAGACATTAGGACGGAAGCAGGAGGCTGCTGGAAGAGCGCTCAGGTGCTGTATGAGAAATACCAATATTAGTTTACCATTTCCATTGCTTTTCTTGAAAAAGCTCTTCAGGGTGCAAACACTGAGCTGCTCGTAAACTTTGAAACACTTGGCAACCTCTCGGGCTCCATAGCAGCTCTTTTTCATTATTTTGCTTTCTTTCTTTTCCAAATCCTGGCATCTGCTGAAATCTGGCTGCTGCCATCCCGAGAGAGACACCGTCTGTGGGGGAGTCGGACTGGGGCACCTGCCAGCCTCAGGGGCTGTGCCTCCCCAGGCGGGCTGGCAGTCATTTAAAACGGGAGCTGCGTTTCACAGATGGCCCGAGGACACACCCAGGTCTGCCCATGGTACTCTCTATCGAGTGCTGGCACCTCCTACTACCCAACGTGCTGTTCTTCTCAAGGGGTCAAAGAAACTACCCAGGCCACAGAGCTCCCTGGTGCTTGGTGTCACCTGAGACCTGGCCACCCCCAGGCATCAGGGCTGCACAGGTGATGAGACACCCTGTCCCCGACGCCTGTGCTACACTGTGGAGAGGCCAGGCCAGCAGCATGTGGCTTTAGTTCCAGTTACTGGGGCCCCTGAGCCAGCAGGATCAATGAGCTCTGGAGGTTGAGGCCAGCCTGGCAACCGGCAAGACCCCGTTCTCAGAACCCAACAGCAAATGTTACTCCAGGACCTTCATGAAATTATTTCCACTTAATTATAGTTATAATA